AGAGTAAAGGAACGCCAGCATTCAAAAGTGACCAAAACATCAGCCAGGAAGCATATGAACTGAGAAGTGGTCTGTGGTCACCACCTGCAGAACCACTCCTTTATCGGGGGTGTCTTGCTAATTGCCTATAATTTCCACCTGTTGTCTATTCCATTTGCGCAACAGCATGTGAAATTGATTGTCACTCAGTGTTGCTTCCTAAGTGGACAGTTTGATTTCACAGAAGTGTGATTGACTTGGAGTTACATTGTGTTTAAGTGTTCTCTTTTTTTTTTTAGCACTGTACTTCAAAGAAGGTGACAAGTCATTAATCAGTGATTGTGGATTAAAATCAATTGTCAGGATTTGCATGTCCACTTCTGTTTAGAAGCTTCACATTTTCTTCTACAAGAATTTACAAATAAATCATTTTTTTTAAATATTCTTTTTAAGATTTGAAGAAAGATATCAACAAAAGAAAATCTTAGCACAGCAGATAAGGTGGGATAAGAGGAATAATAGAAAAATCAATTTGCTTGTAATGAGCAAAATAAATTATACATTTTCATTAGGGAGAGGGCCGCAGCGCTTACCAAGAACAATGATGCTGAAAATTACAGGTCGAATGAAACGCAAAAAATACTTACATAAATGTAATGATCCACCTTGCTGAATGGTGATTAGAAATAGGACAATTAGTTTATACAAGTACATGTTTCATGCTCAATGAGATTTAATCCTATGCAGTAACAGTGGGAGGATGTGATCTACAGCGAATACATAATGTGACAAAAACATTATATTACAGATGTTTTTTCTTTCATGCTATTACTTTCACCCACAAGTCTTATTCTATTCCATTTTTATCATTTTTAGCTTATTTGTTGGTCTTTGTTTATTGCACAACACAAATGGCTATAAATAAATGAAGCTGAGCAGACTCTTTCTCATTGGAGATATAACAGTGCTGGACTTTAGCACAAGGGCGACAACATACCCGCCAACATCAACATCCCATGAAGTGAGATTGCAGTGCGCAGGATAAAGCAAGCGGCTCAGTGACACAAATCACTGGACTGCTGCCGCCCAAAGGGATCAGATCTATCTGAGCAGGTCCACCTGAAGAATTGCCACACAAGGCTTTCTTTCAATAACCCAGGCCAGCCCGCTGTTTCAGTGTTGCCTGCAGGGTCTTGTTTCCCTTAGCGTGGTGCAAGTGTGTCTAATGATGCACTCTCGCAATGCTTTCTGGGAACAGATCTGGGGTCATATGTAATAATGAGAAGCTTGCGAGGCAGTTAATTAGTTCGGATTAGAGGCAGATGAAGGGACATGCTATTAAGAAAGCTGGAGTAGGAGTAGAAGGCTGAGTTAGTGGCAGCAAAATCTTGGAGATGTTTGCTGATGGAAATCAGGGTGCAAGCATTAAACTGGAGAAAAATGGAATGCAAAGGAAGTTCAGAAGCCACAAACATGCTTGTCTGTAGAGAATTTTGGAGGAGCAGTAGGTAGAAGAGGGAGTGATATTTGGTATGACACTGAAACAGTTTGTCAAAAAATATCTTATCTCCTTAAAAATTAAAAATTCATATGCACAATATGGAAGTATTAGTTGCAAGCTATTCAGAAATTTACAGTCACAAGGCATAGAATGGTAAAGGGACAATATAGTCACCAGAACAACTACAGCTTACTGTAGTTGTTCTGGTGAGTAGAATCATTCCCTACAGGCTTTTTGCAGTAAACACTGTACTTTCAGAGAAAAGGCAATGTTTACATTACAGCCTAGGGATAACGCAACTGGCCACCCCTCAGGTGGCTGCTAGAGGTGCTTCCTAGGGAAGTGCTGCACATATCAGTGTCTCCACCCTCTGCATGGAGACACTGAACTTTCCTCATAAAGCCCCTGATCTGCCTCCTTGACAAGCTCAGCCAATCCAATGCTTTGCTATGGGCAAACATAGTGATTGGCTCAGAAAATCACTTATGTTGTCAGCCAAGGAGGCATATCAGGGGCAGAGCCAGCAGAAGCAGACTGAAGTAAATGTAAGATTTCACTATAATTAGGGGGCAAGGAGGGGCCAGATGGCGGTTTACATGTTTGTGTTCCTGACCCTATAGTGTTCCTTTAAAAAAAAGGAAAATCGGTAAAACAGCATGGTTTTTATGTCTTGGCTAAAGGTAACTCAATTAATTGTTTGCATATGATATTTTTTTTTAAATGGAAATGTTTGCTCTGGGAAATCTTGGCACAGGTATGAAACTAGAGAGAGAAACAATACAAAATTTAAAAAAAAGGATTGCAAAAAAGGTTATATCCTAAACTCTGATTTATTTATTTAAAGCATACCTTATTTTTTTCTTCTTATGTAGTTATGACATTTAGGAGTTAAATCACATTATTTATGCAGATATAGCCACACCTCCTCTCCTCTGGCTGTAAGTCCCACAGTCTGCATAGAAATTTTTTTATATTTTTCAAAACCATGTTACAACACAGTGTGTTCACATTCGACAATATTATCTCCTGCTCTGTAAATTGAACTTTGATCACATACAGGAAGCTGCTGTACAATCTAACAGCCAATAAACTGAGCAGGAAACAATAACTAATTTTTAAACTTATGCTTTTGCATTGTGTGCTTAATTTAAACCTCTTTTTTAGGAAGTGTGTAGGGAGGCTGTGTGAGTCACAGTCAGAGGAGGTGTGGCTAGTGCTGCATAAACAGACTGATTTAACTCCTAAATGTGAGAGAATTGAGCTCTCAGACTGCAGGGGCATGATCTGTACATCAAACCCACTTCATTAAGCTGAATTTGTTTTGGTGCTGACATGGTCCTTTAACTTAGTTGCCAGAAGGTTAATTTTAATAAATTGTAGGGGCAAACTGAGAGGTAGTTTGTAGTGCACCACATGTTATATGTGTCAATTTTCTGGTGTATGCCTTCTATGAGGCTGTTGTTATGATGATGACCTTAAAAAAACATTTTTTTTCAAATTCCTACAACAAATAACTTTTAAAAAAATGTTCTCTATCCTTTTTGGATCACAAAAAAACAGGCAGATGTTTGGGTCCATAATTTTCTAGAAAACACTACAATTGAGGCAAAATTCATAAATTGTTTGTTGAAGAAACATTAGCCTCATTTATTTACACGTATATATATTTAGAAGCCTGTATTTTTCAACTTCTGCAACACAGATGAAACATCTGAGCCGGATTACCTGCTATTATTTACAATCTGTTCCCCACGTTCTTGGAGAATAGACAAAAAAGTAATCCCTTTCACTGCTGGTTTTTTTTTTTTTGGTTATAGAAAACCAAAAACATTTGAAGCATGGAATATATATTTAACATGTGGACATAGGATAAACAGCAGTATTATGCTTAGATAACTGATTATTAACGGAAAACCAAACCTTGTAAATCAACACAATTATATTTTTTTATTCACTTAGTCCATTAATTAAATACTAGAGATACAATATTTAATGGATTATATGGTACCACTTATAAAATCCCTGAAATATGATCATAGAAGTAGAAAAACACCATTCTTGTAATTTATTAAGTTTGATATAAAAAAAAAAATAACATGTTTATGGGTATATTTAGGGACCTGTTTGCCTTTATGGCAATGAAACGACCTAAAATGCCATAATAAATGACTATTTGAGATGCATTTGTGTATGCTCTGATCTCTCTCTCCCCCTACCCCTCCCGGCTACTAGACTGCAACCATGAAGTTTGATCTACAAAGGTGGTTGTGAAGTGAGGAAAGAGAGCATTTTCAAACACTCTGCAGAGATGCAAAGAGGCATAATGGAACCTCAGCATATATATTTACGGGTTTTTTTCTGGGGTTTTTTGCAGGGTGAAAACTAGCACTGAAACAAAGGGTTAAGCAACTGGTGCTTCATGGTTAAATGTTATTCACAAAACTGGCAAATGTGCACAAAATAAAAAAAAGAGAAATGCAAATGTAAGGCCAAGGTAATTTAGCTAGAAAAATAATATTATTAAATCGAGCTCAACTACTTTGACCTTACATTTGCAAATCCTTTCCAATTTCTCCACAAGTTTGGATTTAGTGAACAAACCCCCAAGTTTATTATAGCTAAGATATAAGTAGTATTTGTTAGAACTGATGCACACATTCATGCATTTTGGATGACAAATTAAATCGCTGCCTAGTAAAAAAAATACTTTAACCTTTCATGATCTGCCCAAACCTGATATTACTTTGGTACTATTACAGTTTATATAAACCATATTAGCTATACATGCTAGTCATGTTTTTTTTTTACATGAACACAGTATACATACAAAATGTTTACATTAAGTGGGGTGAGAAGAGGAAACGCAGAATTTCGGTATTCACCTGAACTTCCACTTAACACAGGAGGCTGCTTATTGAATGATACAAACCAATGATTCAATCTTCATAAAATGATGATGTTGTTTACATTGTTTATAAGGAGGCTTAATTACAAAATATGATTATACACCTAACAATGCTATCACAGCCCATATTTCCATTTGTGTGTTTGTACATAGGTGCATGATTCCTTCTCCACAATTGGGTACGTAGTGTACGTAATCGCTGAGTATGTTTTTTACTTTAAAAATAAAAAATGCCGCATTAATAATTAACTCAAAAGAAAATTACTGAAAGGTAAAGCAATAATTTGGGCTTGGCAAATGTATTGCCTTAAGGGGAAAGATAGACACAAAATATGTTTTTCCTGTTTGATGTTTCTCTCCTTTTGTTTTTGCAAGTCAGTTTTTTCACCTTTGTTTGTGCATATATCTCCTTACCTTCGCATAAAAGTAAAATATACACAAAAATCACACCCACTCAATATCAGATTTACATCTGTATATTTAACACCATGGTAAAAAAAAAAATATATAATCACAGGAGCATAATAAATAATTTGTCAATTAACACTAAAGTTAGAATATCAAAAGAATTAGATCACCAGAATCATCACAATCTCTCGCCCCAGTCTTTTATATGCATTGATGGTTTTATATTAAATAAAGCTACGCCCAAACAATGTGAAACATAGGCGTTAATATGCAAAACCAGCCATGAAGGCTATAGACTGATTTCTGTTCGAAAAACAAGTATTAGTGACCTTTCCAGTCTACACTGTTTATACAAGACTGAATGGCATCCCACCCACAGAGCAAATCTGCTTTCCTTTTTTCTTTCAATTATGAATGCTGAGATGGGACAATAAACACTAGCTAGCAAGGTAAGTTAACAAACACCATAGAAACAGACAGTGCTCCATCCCTGAGTTTTATCTCTTGGAAAAAAATACTTTTTTTCACAATCAATCATTCTTCTTATTAGGACCTTCTTATTATTGCAAAAGGTCCTAACTTGCAAAGACAACACATTACAGCATGTATTGTATACCAAATGAATGACACTCCAAAGTGGAAACAAATTATGTCACTACATGCCCTTTGGAAGGATGAGTTAAGTTATTGAATAGGCCATGTCCACGTAGCAGCTGCCATTAGATATTTAGCTTATCAGGTTTACTGATGTATTGAAGTTCTAAATTCTATAAAGTCTTGAGATAAATTTAAATGAAGCTAATACAATGTATTAGTATATTGTATGCCTTCCTCTTCTAGAGCATGTGAAGGACATTCAATTGGCCCTGCAGATGTAAACGGGGTAATTGTCTCCAGAGAAATCTCTGCTTCACATTCAAACTGGACACTGTTTGGTAAAAGTAGGTTTTTGTGGTTTCTGATCCCGTGGGAGTTGGAAGTGACTGAACCTTTGTCAAAACAAGGTCCTTCCAAGTCATCTTGTTCTTGGGTCACCACATTGGGAAGCTGGGAGCTGTTGAAGTTGGCAGGGGCATCTTTTTGAAAGGTGGTGTCATGATGATAGGAAACCAACTCATTGCTGAAGTTCACAGGTTCCACATTGGAGTTTGAGCATAACTTATTACATCCAAGGATTGTGGTGAATGCTTTCCTAAAGTCTGCATTGAAAGCATAAATCACAGGATTCAGAGAAGAATTGGCCCAGCCAAACCACACAAATATACTGAAGGTAGTCTCACTAACACATGGTGGGTCTGGTTCATTGAGCCCTGGAAGACCAGTATGACAGAATGGGACCATACAATTCAGAACAAAGAAGGGTAGCCAGCAAAAAACAAAGACTCCCATGATAATAGACAATGTCTTGAGTACTTTGGTCTCCTTTCTGAAGGAGGTTTTTAATGAGTTTTCATGAGGACAGTCTGGGTGACAGCTTTGAGCATGTTCCACTGCCCTCTCCAAAGAAGATATTCTCCTAATTTGAGTTTGAGCAATCCTATAGATCCTAGTATATGTTCCTATCATGATAGCTACTGGGATATAAAAGCTGATAAGAGAAGAGGAAATGGCATATGTCCTGTTTAGGCTCGAGTCACAGTTCTCGGTCTGGTTGGTGACATTAAAGTTATCATCCAGCTCATCAGATTTGTGCCAGCTGAGCTGTACTGGTATGAAGGAGATCAGGATGGACAAAGTCCAGGCTACGCCAATCATGATGAAAGCCACCCTTTGAGTCATCTTCCTTTCATACCTAAAGGGACTTGCTATTGCCCAGTAGCGGTCCAAGCTGATAATGCAGAGGTTTAGAATGGATGCAGTAGAGCACATTATGTCAAATGCTATCCAAGTGTCACAAAATTTCCCAAAGAGCCAGTAACCAGCCACCTCAGTTACTGCTTTCCAGGGCATCACCAGCAGAGCCACAAAGAGGTCTGAGACAGCTAGAGAGATAACAAAAAAGTTGGTCACCTTGGACCTCAGGTGCCTAAACTTGATGACTGCCAGACATACCAAAGTATTCCCCAGGAGAGTAGACAGGATTAGAAGGGAGAGGAGCAAGCCAGTGAGTGCTCTGACGCTCAGGTCTGTGTTTCCCAATTCTAGATCTTTTTGCAACACATGAATGGTTACATTGTAGGCAGAGAGGTTTTCCATTAGGAGGGCACCAGTCTTGCAGTGACCCCTTCTGTGTAGCACTTTGTATACAGAGCATCAGCATGCACACCGGTAAAATCAGCTGCCCTTTTAGGAACATGACATACCTTAGATTACCTTCTCAATGCACCTCTTCAGCCAGCTTCAAGCAACATTGTATTCTGCCAGAGATCTGGGCTCAATGTAGAGTAAGCCTCTAGTGCTCAGCAGCATTATCTGTTTTGAGAGAAGAGAGGGAAAAAAACTCTTATCAGATGGAAAAACTCATTTTAAGCCTCTGATTTGCTTTCTCCCCTGCATGATTTCTTTTTATATGGATATAAATATAGTCTCTCAGGCAAAAAAAAAAAAAAAGGACCAAATGCTCTTTACCAGTAATCCGTGAACATTTTAGCACCTTCCCCACTTTCCTGCAGGCTTCCAATGGGAGTGAATGGGCACGTGAGGTCCTAATGATTCCATCACAAGAGAATGCATGTTGAAGTCATCCTGTCTGTGTAAGTCCCAGGTGTGAAGAGTCAGGACGTTTGCTGGCTGCTGTGAGCTTTTCCTGGATGCTGGTTGCTTGTTTTTGATAGAATGTGTCCATTTGTTCTACTGAGCAGATTAAATTCTGAGAGCAGACTGAACAATGCCATGTGTTGGTATTGGCACCTCTGTATTGCGCTCACAAACATACACACACACACAATAACCTCATCCACTCTCCCTCTGTGATCACTCTCTCCTCAGGATCACTGGAATCTAATCAGCATTGGATAAAACAAGACCAACAGACGTCTACAGGAGGAGGGAACCTGCTTCTTTGCTGTTATTCTAAATGCATTTGTATTAACCCCTTCACACCCTCTCTAGTGGTGGTACTCCCACCCATGTCTGCTAGTGAATTGCTTGGTACGCTGGCACTTTAAGGGGATATCATTGTACCAAACTCACATCACCAAGTATATCACTGCATTTATCTTTATAGGTTTGTTTTCTATCTGTTTTCATAGCTAAATGCACATTTCCCTGTGTTGTTATGTTGGTGAAGCCCTCCCCCTGGTCACTCTATACATCTCATAGTACAGATAACATAGCATTGTTTAGCTGTTATTACTCTAGTTTTGTGTTTGCCCTAACTCCCCAAATCTCAGTTTTCTATTTTAGCCCCAGCTGTTTGCTTTGAATATATAGCAACAGAGCTCTGTCAGGGATACAGTCACAATTTAATTCAGCACCACAAGCTACAGAGAACCATAGAAAATAAATCTCTCTCTTCTCTCTATCTATCTCTGCCCTTTTCTTCAGCTCCTTTCCTCGGCTCTTCTCTACTCTAATATGTTGAATAATCATTCATTATCTACTAAATAAACACATAAAACCATTGATTAAACACCGCATAACAGTGTGCAAAGTCATTAGTGAGGACGCAAAACAAAGTGGATTTATACAGTGCTCCAGACTTGGTCCTCAACCCATTGATTTTCCATGAAAACGTGTACTTTTGAAATTCAATCAATCCTTGCTTTTACTTATTCACGAAAATCAATTGCAGATGGCTAGAGGCACACAACTGCAGGGGTTAATGTACACATTACGAAACGCGGTCCTCAGCCCCTAGAAATTACAATTTGCAGCAATAAATGCATTATGCTTTCATAATGATAAAAAAGAAAACACTTATCACAGAACACACAGTTATTAATACAGTTTAATTTAATGGGCATAAATGAATTTCAGTTTTGTCACATGAATTATTCAGATTTTACATTTTGATAGGCATATCGGCATCTTCTGTTCTTGTATGTCCAACTGGTCTTGTTGAAGCTACTTGTTGATGAATACTAAAAAAAAATAAAATGCTTGCTTTTGCTGCAGTATTCCAAAACTGTTTCAGGAAAGAAAGATTACTCTTCTTATTCAATGTATTCAGAAATATAAATAATTGGATTATGTTTGTTTGCGGTGGTATGTGGCATCATCCTGGGCTATGAAATTAAATACGGTGTTTGGCGTAAGAAGTATAACTTTACTATATTTTGCACAATGGAGATGAGGGTGGTTTTGTAAGAAAATTTACAAGCCTGCTATTTACTGAACTATGGTATTTGGGCCAATGAGCTGTTCGGCCAAAGTCCATATCTGCAAAGAGTAATGCTCAAATATTTTCAGATACTGTGGGAGTGCACCTGTGGCCTGTGTGGGAGATAGCCTGTGTCATTGATCCTAGTGTGAGATTGCAGCTTAAAGTCCCAATTTTGGGGTGCTGTCCCGCTGACCTGCTTTAGTTCTCTGGTCTCCTGCATCTGGGGACACCAGGGAACTGTCCCCAGGCAGCACAGCATGAGCGCCTCATTGGGTATGCTCTCACTGTGCAGCGGGCACTAGGGCCATGCAGAGAGTGCTTTTCCAGGCTGACCTGCCGTCTTTTGGACAAGACCGCTCCTTTCATAGACAGCCCCACCCAGCCCCAGTTTGAAGAAGAGTGATGTTGGGAGGTATGCTAGTGTGAGACTGGTATTTAGGTTATTGCTCAGTTTAGCTACTACCAAGTTTGATTCACTGATATCGAGTTTGACAGGTCTTTTTTTATGAACTGTTTGTAGAAAGGAAAACATTTTTGTAGGAGTGGCAGTGTGTGCTATGCAATTGTGCAATTGTGTGAGTGCTGCTTAACCTCCTTAAAAGGTAGGAAAACTTACCTTGTTTTCCAGCCCCACCCAGGTCTACCAGCGCTGGTATCGCCCCGATCTGCCGATCTGCCGATCATCAGAATTAAATTATTTCAGCCAATCCAATGATTGACATAATCAGAATTAAATTATTTCAGCTAATCCAATGCTTTTCCATAGGGAAAACATTGGATTGGCTAAAATTGCCAAGGATGTGGGAAAGGGTAGGGCCAAATGCTGACTGAGCCAATCAGCACCTCCTCATAGAGATCCATTGAATCAATGCATCCGTATTAACAAAGTTCAGCGTCTCCATGCAGTGTGTGGAGATGCTGAATGTCAGTAAGCACGTCCAGTGGCCACTGGAGGTGGATTCAGAGAAAAGGCAGTGTTTACATTACCCTCTAGGGACACCATCATCAGTAGTGCGACAGCCTCTCAGAGCCTTAACACGTCTCCACCAGTTCTCACGGCCCACAAACAATCTAGGACACTGGTGGCGAACCTCTCTGTGGGCACGCGGCCATAGGTCGTCAGTCGGCATCATTGCAGAGTAGGCACGTGTCTGCCCATAACGGCTTCCGTGTCTGGAGGACAGGGGGAGGGATCTGAGCAGCAGCTCTCCTGTTCTCCCGCGAGCAATCTGTGTGGAGCGTTGCCGCACGTTACCATGGCAACGCTCCACACAGCATCGCGCGGGAGGGCAGGAGAGCTGCAGGACCTGTCTCTCTTACCACCACCAGACTACCAGGGATTTCTTTCACCAAAGGTAAGAAGAAGGGAGGGGGGAGACAGATTGTATTAATATATTTGCAGCAGCACCCCCCCAGCAAACACACACACAGCAACCCCCACACACACAGCACCCCCCATTCACAGAGCACCCCCCACACACACACACAGCACCCCACACACACACAAAGCCCCCCACGCACACACAGCACCCCCCCCACGTACACACAGCACCCCCCCCACGCACATACAGCAATGTGTTTAGCAGTCTGTATATGTATTTTATGTATGTATTGCATTTGTTGGAGATACTAATAAATATAAGCCTAATTTTATCTATAATTAAATGTTTTATTCCGGTGAGTTGTGTGTAGGCAGGGCCCCAGTGCACTGCTTTGCCTGGGGGCCCATAATGGTGTTAAGATGGCACTGGTGGGTGGGTGGGATAGAGGGCTGCAAGGGAGCACTGACTTACACTGACTTACATGCTGTTCCAGCACTGCTCCTTCCGCTGATGCCGCCGGAAAGCAGGAAATCAAGCGGAGAGGAGGAAGGAGAGGGAGGGAAAGGTAGAGAATGGTAGAGAGAATGCACAGAGGAAGGAGAATGCTAAGGGGAAGGAAGGAAAGAAAGAATGAAAGAAGGGAGAGAATGCACTGGGAAGGAAGGAGAGAGAGAGAATGCTGAGGAAAGAAAAAAGGAGAGAGAGAATATAACAGAGGTAGAAAAGGGAAAGAGAGGAAGATGCTGGGGGAGGAGATGCTGGGGAAAAAGGGGAAAGGAGGAAGGAGAAGATACTGGGGAGAAAGAAAGAGGAGGAGAGTGCTGGGAAAAGAAGGGAGAAGGAAAGATGAGAATCTGGGGAAAAGAAGAAAGAGGAAGAATCTGGGGGAGAGAGGAGGAGGAAATGCTGGGGAGAAGAGAGGAAGGAAGCTGAAGGGGAAAAGAATAGAGGAGGAGAATGCAGGAGGAAGGAGGAGATGCTGGGGAAAAAAGGAGAGAGGAGAGAATGCTACAGGGTGAAAGAGGAAGGAGAATGCTGGGGAGGGGAATGCACAGAAGAAAAGGGAGGAGGAGATGCTGGGGGAGAAGAGGAGGAGGTGCTGGGGGAGAAGGGGAGAGGAAGATGAGAATCTGGGGGAAAGGAAGAGGAGAATCTGGGGGAGAGGAGGAGGATATGCTGGAGGGAGAAAGGGAGAGGAAGAGGAGAATCTGGGGGAGAAGAAGAGGAGAAACTGGAGGAAAAGAGGAGGAGATTCTGGGGGGAGAATGGGAGGGGGAGATGCTGGGGGGGATAGGAGGAGATGCTGGTGGGAGAAGGGGACAGAAAGAGTAGAATCTGGGGGAGAGGAAGATGAGAATCTGGGGGAGAGGAGAATCTGGGGAGAGGAGAAGGAGATGCTGGGGAGAGAAGGGGTATATGCTGTGGGTAGGGAAAGGAAGATGCTGGGGGGAGAGAAGAGGAGAATTAGTTCAGACAACTGTATGAGTTGTTTTTTCTAAACTTAAACCTCAGTATTCAGGTTTAATTGCCATGTTGCACTTTGAGGAAAAAAAGGTTTGCCATCACTGATCTAGGATGTATGTATTTCTTTTTTCTTTTTTTTTTTTTTCAGTGAAGGATACTGACAAAACCTGGTCTGTTGGTGAACCATGAAGACTGGTTTGGGAACCACTGACCTAGAAGAATTACAAGAGGAGAGAGTCTCAAGGCAACAGGCAGTAGCCCATTATTTTCTCTAGCATGTAGCGTGTACTCGCCTCCTGCAACTTCTCCACCTTGTCAAGGTCCAACTCTATCTGTTTTTGACTTGCCTCATCCACCACCACCAACAATACCACCACCTTCAATAATTACATTAGCATTAATCAACCAAGAGCAAAGTGTTGTGACATCTTCCAATGACCCCAGTAGAAACCAACCCTCATCTTTAGCAGCCACAAGGCAAAGTGCTGAGGCAAATACATTGTGACAAAGTTTAATATCACTTAGAGTGCCTCCAAAAATGCTGACTTACAAAATGCAAATTGTATGGCAATTAAGGGAGTAGTAGGAGAGTGAATGATCATCTCACTAGTGCCGGTATAGACAGACCTAATCAAAGACACCATCAATCAAGGACACTAAAATAAAAAATTTAAAAATGGACTTCCACCTAAAACCTTAATATCGCAGTATTTATTCAGTAAAAAGCCATTTGGGATGAATTAACACCTGCCTTTAATATTTTACACTACAAATAGAAGGATTTGAGGGGTAAAAGAATTCAGTTTTTAATCAGTCCATCACAATGCTCAGTTTAGTAAATAACCTTTTTTTTTTTTCTTATTCCAGCTGAAGTGTTAGAGGTTAACACAGTAAATGAGTTTAACCCCTTAAGGACACATGACATGTGTGCCATGATTCCATTTTATTTCAGAATTTTGGTCCTTAAGGGGATAAGCATGCATGGGATAGGCATAAGGCTATCCTAACTATAAGATAAGGCCAGGGACTAATGAAAGTATTTAGAAAATTGGGCAGACTAGATGGGCAGAATGGTTCTTATCTGCCATCACATTCTATGTTTCTACGTTTCTTTGTTTATATGTTTCAAAAAGCCATGAAGGCATAAAAATAATGACAATAAAGAAATAAGAAAGTAAACAAAGATCAATATGGCAAAAATAGCAACCTACTAATAATCAAGTCATCACCTGCATGTGGTGTATTCCATTCAATATCATTCAATCTGTAAGGGCTTAAGAAGACTTTTTCCCGGATTTAGGGTAACCTTTTCTGCTATACTCTATGAAGGATTTATTTGTTAAACAGGAGTGAATTAAAAGTCAGATTGCAAAATTCAAGCTAAAATAGCTTAACTTAATAACTTAATAAACCCTGTCATTATGATTGTGTGCTCTGTTTAGATTTAGCTAGGAATGTTCTGTTTTTCTGTCAGCTGAATTTATATATATCATATATATATACTCTGAATCCCTCACACACTAAACCCCTGACACATACATTGTACCTCTCACACACACTGCCCCCCCACACACACACTGCACCCCTCACACACACTAAACCCCTGACACATACATTGTACCCCTCACTGACAGACACACAGACAGACACACACATACAGACACACACACACAGACAAACACAGACACAAACTGTCCCACTCACACACACGCTACACCCCTCACACACACTGCCCCACTCACACAAACATTGCCCCCTCACACACACGTCACTCCTGACACACACTGCACCCCTCATATACATTAAGCCCCTAACACACACTGCATCCTTCACACACACATTGAAACCCTCACATACACATTGAACCCCTCACACGCTGCACCCTCACACAAACTACACCCCTACACACTAGATCCCCTATAGACACTACATCCTTTACACAAACATTGCACCTCTTACACATACTATATTCCTGACAAACACACACTACATCTCTTAGACACACTCTGGATCCCCTACACACACGTTAGATCCCCTACACACACTCTGGATCCTCTAAACAAACACACAAGATCCCCTATACACACTCTGGAGCCTCTGCACACACTAGATCCCCTACACACAAGTGTGTCATTAAATTTGTTTACTCTGTGCAGAACATGCAAGAGCTCTTCAGCAGAGCTCTGCACATGTTCTGCCCTGGAAAAGCATTGAAGAAACATGCTCCCTTTGAGAGGGGATTTACTTGTCACTGGTGATGACAAAACACCTTCTCTCTGGCCCTGCCCAGTTCTCCCCAGGTTGCTGTCATTAAAAAATGCTCAGGCCAAATTATTTTCCCACCCTGGTTGAGACACAAAGATTCCTTACTGACTTACTGAAAATGCTATTCTTCAAAAATGACTCTCCGTAGAAGTCAAGATTACCTGGGATGATGAGTCCTCACTGAAATGTAATGGGGACAAAACTCTGAAGTTTGGATAGTTTTCTCTGGATGTTTGTCCACTGAGCTTGCTAAGGGAGTTAATGTAATCTGGATACTGTAACAATTTGCATTTAAAAAAAATGTTAGTTGATTTGTATTAAAGGGACACTATAGTCACCTGAACAACTTTAGCTTAATGAAGCAGTTTTGGTGTATAGAACATGCCCCTGCAGCCTCACTGCTCAATCCTCTGCCATTTAGGAGTTAAATCCCTTTGTTTATGAACCCTAGTCACACCTCCCTGCATGTGACTTGCACAGCCTTCCATAAACACTTCCTGTAAAGAGAGCCCTATTTAGGCTTTCTTTATTGCAAGTTCTGTTTAATTAAGATTTTCTTATCCCCTGCTATGTTAATAGCTTGCTAGACCCTGCAAGAGCCTCCTGTATGTGATTAAAGTTCAATTTAGAGATTGAGATACAATTATTTAAGGTAAATTACATCTGTTTGAAAGTGAAACCAGTTTTTTTTCATGCAGGCTCTGTCAATCATAGCCAGGGGAGGTGTGGCTAGGGCTGCATAAACAGAAACAAAGTGATTTAACTCCTAAATGACAGTGAATTGAGCAGTGAAATTGCAGGGGAATGATCTATACACTAAAACTGCTTTATTTAGCTAAAGTAATTTAGGAGACTATAGTGTTCCTATAGTGACTATAGTGTTCCTTTAATCCCTTAAGGACACATGACATGTGTGACATGTCATGATTCCCTTTTATTCCAGAAGCTTGGTCCTTAAGGGGTTAAATGTTTTGCCTTTTCTGCCTTTTTACGGACTACTGGAAAAGCAAAGTACAGTTCTATAGACCCCAAGCAGCTGGAGAACTTCAGGCAATACAGATATTCTTGGAGAATAGAAATATCTTCCCAACTTGGACCGCATCTAACAGGACACTAACCTGCCCCAGAAGAGCCTGGAATAACTTGGCCCTTGGCATGAAAATGTGCATGTGTCCAAGTTGTATATCTAGGAAGGGTGCCAAAAGCACAGATGAGGGGGGTGGGGGAGGAGGCACACAAAATGGGTTAGTAAGGGGCCACGCAATTTCTGATAGCATCCCAGCATGTCTAAATTATAAAGTGTTCAGAGTCTTGTTGTAACAGCATGTTGTATAATTCAACTGAGTACAAGGCAGCAATGAAAGCACTGTGCATCTCAACCTTGTGAGCATATCGCCTATTCCTTACTGTTCTCTTAGCCTGATGCCTTGTCAGAACATTCAGCCCATGGTGGTGGGGGTTGGGGGGACTTAAAAGAGGACATAGCTGATTGTATAAAGACTTGATTTTAAGTGAGTGAGTTATTTTCAGTTACATTTAGTTCTGCAAGCTTTTTTTATTTATGATAAAAAAGTGACAAAGCATTTAACATGAGAATAGTTATTTCCTTATCAAACAAATCTCCATGGGGTACCTCTTTCTGGGTATTCCATGTTGTTATCTTAGTGACAAACACGTCAACTAAGAGAATATAAAATCAAAACATTTCACAAGCAATTTTACCGCTTTACACAGCCTGATATACTGTTAGTCATCCTATCTTTTATATCGGAGACAATTTAAAAAAAGATGTTATGACAGTTCTGTTATGATAAAGCACTCCCTTTGTTGAAGTTTGTAGTCCCCAGAGTTACCCAACATTTGTGTTTAGAAGATGCTGACGTGTGTCTGTGAGATAAATAATTCACCTTGTTGTGTATGGAATAAATTTATTGTCTGAAAATCACTGGTTAACTTAACTAAACAAGAGATATAGCCAGCAGAAACTGTAACGCTGTAATTGCTCCCTGGGGCAAAATTTAGCTAGCCACATGCTTTGCAGTCTGAATCATTAAGGTATTTGTCAGCCTACACCTAAAGATAATAGCCCCCCAAAGACACATTTCACGCAAAGACCTTGTATGAAAAAAAAAGATATCTACAAGAAATGTATATATCCCGGTAAAGGGTTGGTAACTTTTGGCTTGTAGTGCATTGTAAACAAATGGCATTTTTATGCCATCTAAGCGATGGTACAGTGTGCAATTAATGGGTATGACAAATAGAGTCTGTTTGATTTGCACGTTGTGTCTTCAAATATCTCTGCAATCTCCAGCAATGTGACGGTGTATACAAAGAACTGTGTATGCTTGAAAAATGCAAACTCTTGCTAACTATGACAATCGATGTGTGTTACTGTGGCCAGGAAATGAATTATTCCAGTGGCCAGTCAAGGCCAGTTAAAGACTGAAATTGTATAGCAAAGATATTACATAGTTCCTGCATGCTGCTGCACTTTGCCAAGAGACCTCCACCTGAATTTCCTGCTATTCTAATCCACAGAAAAATGTGGTGAGTCAGCAGCCCTCATATGCAAGTGACCTTGGGGAAATTGCCCCCCTCTTCACCCCAGGAATAAGGTCTAAACAAATTATCACTAAAATTGTTACTTTTAAGTTCTTATGTTTATTTTGATTGACAGTTTGAATTCTAACAACCGCCCCATCATTGATTTCATTTGGTATACCTATCTTCCCAATTCAGTTGCTATATGGTGTAAACAGTGGCTGAACTACCGCCACTGCACCGGGGCCCACACACAAAGGGGGTCCATTGGGTGGCCCATGCACTTAGGACAATCTGATGGGTATTTGTTAGCAGGGGCCCAGTCAGGCGCCATGGTCCTTTAACAACGCGACTAAGCCCTCTTCTTCTGGGCAGCATGGGAGGGACGTGGATCCGCACAGGAGAGGTGGAGAGGGTAGAGAGGGGGGGCTGGGCTGGGCTGGGCCGGGAGACCCAGCCTTTAACTCACAACAGTGTCAGACAGCAGACTGGATCCCACGGAGGCTACCCTCCTGTACACAAAAGGTAGGAAACTGGAGCGTGGCTGCAAAAGTGTAAATTTGGACCAGCGTGTGTGTGTGTGTATCTGTATGTCAGTGTGTGTAGTAGTATGTCGTCCGTGTGTATCTGTATGTCTGTGTGTGTATATGTACATCTGACAGTGTGTGTGTATTTGTATGACTGTGAGTGTGTGTGTTTGTGTGTATCTGTGAGTATGTCAGTGTGTGTCTGTGTATATGTATCTGTGCCAGTTTGTATATCAGTGTATCTGTATGTTGTCAATATGTGTATCTGTGTGTCAGTGTGTATCTACGTGTGTTTGTCTGTATATCTGTATGTGGTCAATGTGGGAATCTGTGTATCTGCACGTGTGTCAGTGTGTGTATCTGTGTGTGAGTGTGTAAATCTGTGCGCCTGTGTGTCTGCATGTGTGTCAGTTTTTGGATCTGTGTTTCTATCTGCAAGTGTGTCAGTGTATGTGTGTAAGTTTGAGTATCTTTTTGTCTGTATATCTGCATGTGTGTCAGTGTGTATATCTGTATGTGTGTCAGTATGTGTATCTGTGTGTATGTGGAGATTTAACTCCTAAATGACAGGTAATTGAGCAGTGAGATTACAGGGGCATGATCTACACAAAAACTGCTTCATTAAGCTAAAATAGCATTTTTTCATTATAAATTGAATTGGTTGACTAGTTGACTATAAGTCCAAAGTCCACCTCTTATGATAGTTTTTTCTTTTGTGCATTTTTATCAGCCTTTCCCCACTTTACAAATAGATTGGAATTGCTACCTTTTTTCAGTATGATTGTAGCAGTAGTTGGTGCCAACAAAGTTGTGTTGCATGGCGCTGGAACACAGAATAAAGCGGAAGTATGCAATCATGTGATTGCGAACAGGAAAAGGAGTGGTGGAATGCAACAAAGATGGCGTCCCAGTGATTATGATCATTGGTGCCGGCTGGAAATGAAGGTGGGGGACTCGGAAAGTATCCTAAATGGAGGAGCATCATCCTATCAGGTGGGAAGGAAGGATTTACGCCCACTGAACCACCAAAGACTGAAAGGGATTAGCCCTATTTTAAGGACTTTGGGGAAGGGGGTTATTAGGCTGCTTTACACCTAAGGGTGTTTTTGTTTGTACTAATATTTTACTTGTGTCCCTGAGGAAACACGTTGGACAGATTTTAACATAGTAATTTGTATTAAGTTGTTTTAAAAAAATGTGTTTTTGCACCTAATAAATCACTTTAAAGTACAGTGGAAAGTGTGGACCACATCTTCGGCAGGAGAAGCTAAATTGAGGAGATGCACCCCAAAGCGCAGATTTTCATATACACTGTGGGTGCATTTGTAGAGTGCATATTTTATTGTATCACATCACTTCCAGCATAAGCACACACCTCAAACTGGAACACAAATTTCCATACACCCATGGCATGCTCTGTTCCTGTAACTTATCTGCTGAGTGCTGGTGGAGAGTTATAAAAAATAGCCCTCCTACCCCCAACTCACTAAATTATAAAGTATACCATTCAATATATGGCCAAACAAAAATGATGTCCAAATTCCTATTCCTTATGTTACTTGCCCTTGCAAATGATGTGGAGTCTAAACCTGGTCCCCCAGCTAATTCTAGTCCTAATCTCCCCACTAAAAAGGCCTCTCTTCTGTACACTGCAACATCCGTAGCTTAATCCCTAAACTGGATGCACTGCAAGCCTGGTGTTCCCATTCCAAACCAAAAATACTTGTGCTCTTGGAATCATGGTTAACAACTAAAATACCAGACACTGCCATTGCAATATAGGGTTATTCGTGCTTTAGAAATAACAGAGCAAAGAGAGGAGAAGGCATTGTTATTTATGTTGACAATTCCGTAAAGTTTACCCCTTTACAAAACTTTAGCCCTTCTGCCACCTTTGATTTCCTTTCTGGCATGATTGAGATCCCATGCAGTAAATCAATCATTGTTGCAGGAATCTTCCGCCCACCTGGCTCCTTAGTGCATTCCATATCTGCCATAACCCATCTCCTTAGTGTAACCATAGCTCAAGACCCAAAAAAGTGAATTGTTGGTCTTTGGAGATTTTAATATTGATTGGCTGAATCCTAAAAATAATAGTTCTTGCACGCTGTTTAAGACTTTGCAGCTTACGCAATTAATCTCCTCCCCAACTCGCATAAACATTAAAAGCCATAACCATACCAAGCTCGATTGGATTCTCTCCCCTTTTCCTCATAGAATCTAGGAGGCCGGTGTTCTCCCAGAAAGTTTCAGTGATCACTGTTTAATGTACTGCGTGTGCAAAATAAAGGCTACTAAATCCTCTCCCAAGGTTAAAATCACCAGGTCCTTCAAAAAATTAATCTTGAATCCTTTCTTAATGACATCAAGAACCTCCCATGGCACAGATTAAACATTATCCTAGATCTAGACTGTGCTGTTGAATTCTTGAAGTCTGAACTCCTACAAATTTGCAATTTGCATGCCCCGCTGAGTAAGGTGAGAGTAAAAGGAGCACATTTGAACTGGATCACAGCTGACCTCATCCAAATGTACCAGTTTCAGGATTCTTTGTGGTCAAAGTTCAAGCGTACTGGCTCTATGAATGATCACTGTGCATATAGACAATTGCAAAATATATACACAAAACAAACAAAATTGTCCAAGGCCCAATATTTCTATGAAAATCTGAACAATAACCTATCAAACCCTAGAAACTTTTGGAAAGTCATAAATGAATTACAAACTCCCCCAATCCACTCCCAACCCTCCACTATCAAAGTGGATAACCAAACCCTGCAAGTTCCCTTAGATGTAGCAAATGCCTTTAACAATTATTTTGTCGGATGCTCCACTGCCCTGATTGCCAAGCTAATAAATGACACGCATCCTGAAACTACAAATGTGGATTAGGCCCCACTAAATTTGCAAAGGCCCAATATAGACAAGTTCATTTTTAGTTCAATTGCTAAACCCATTTCAACCCTAATTAACGAATCCTTGGTGTCTAGCAGGCCCGGACTGGCCATCGGGCATACCGGGCAAATGCCCGGTGGGCCGCGATGGCCGTGGGGCCGAGGCCGGCAGGGGAGATCACAGGATCTCCCCGGCCGGCTCCTGCAGGGCCAGCGCTACCCGAGCGCCAGCCCTGCTGTGTGTCTCCATGGGCCGGTGGGGAGATCAAAGATCTCCCTTTACCGGCCCAGAGACACTTCCAGGCGGCCGCT